AATTAGAGATGTGAAGTCCCTGCTTAAAGCAAGCGTCAAGTACATCTACTTTTGCTCCAAAGAGAAAAAAAAATGGATAATTTTTACATGATGCAGGTCTGGGAATAGCAGAAGAAGAAAGCAAGCACAAAGTATTTTCTGTCAACAGCTGCCATCTGTAAGAGATGTTAATTTTCCACTTTGAAATAAAGCACCCAACTTAGAAACTTTGAAGTTTCCCTTCAAAATATTTAAGACTATTTAGAAAATACCATACCCAGGACTTTTGGAACTATTTCTCCAATGTAATTCATAAGTCACCACAAATCATACACGTAAGTTAAGACTGAACTTTATTTCAACCCAAGTTAGTGTAACAAAGTTAAATAAAAATTAACCAGGTCTTTTCACTAAAGAGCAAAACATACCAGAATTCTAGTCCAAGAAACTTGCTACCAGGATATGTGTGTGTGTGTGTGACACATCAGTCAGTGCAAACTGATAAAAACCCATGGGGTTTATTTACAGCCATTATGGCAGCAAAGTTCAGCATAAAAAGCATAATATAAAAATCATTCTTCCCATCTACTACAACTGGGAGACAACTCACATAACTGAAGACACCAGCTACTATCAAAATGGAGGCACCTTGTAATTCACATTTCTCTTCATCTCAACAGGGTCAAAATCTGTGTCAAAAAAATCTGTCTCAACAGAGTCAAAATCAGGATACAGCAGGGAGGATACCACAACTAAAGCAAATCAAAGAACATGGTTTTAGAAGTAGCACAGGATGGTGTCATTTTGGGAAGAATACGATGCCCCACAACACCAGCTGCCTTACCTCTCTTGGAAATTTCTTGCAGAAATAATTGACATCCAAGGGAGAGGGAAGAGATCTGGCAAGGAAAAAGAGAGAGGTATGGCAGAACTTCTTTATAAAGGCCACCAGAAAATAAATAAAAGCAAAAACTGCCTTGATGCCTTTCAGTTCCAGTCCTTTACATTCCTGAGCAATCTGACTCCAGCTCTGTAAATGCATTGGCATCCCTGGCCAAGTCAAAGAGAAAGACCATGAGACCTGGCATTCGAAGTCCCACTCCTGGTGTGTGTTTTAATTAATGGAAGCCTGAGCATCATCTGTGAAAGGGAATGGGACTTGAGGCTTTCACACCAGGTAAAACTTTCTGTGAGTGCTTGTTCCAGTCTCCTTTCATGTGCATTTCATTCAAGGGCGTACATTCCACGTTTTTTTTTTGTTTTTTTTTTTTTTTTGACAATTGGAGGTTTGACAACAGAAGAACAGAGTTATAAATGTGAGGGTACAATATATCATGAGATAAAGTGTGGAGAACATGTCCTCTACCAAAATGTCCCTTGGTGGAAAGAAAAAGCCCAAAATGTCTAGAATAAGAATTCCCTCTGCTTCTTACAACTATAAAGGAGCAAAAACCAAAACAAAGCCCCAACCCATGGGCTGTGCTATGCACGTTTCTAGGGTATCAGCTCTGGCAGAAAGTTGAAAGGTTATGTTTGTGAAATAGCAGCTGCTTTCCTGCCATTTGGTTCAGGCTTCTGCTTTGCAAAGTCTCGAAACTGAAAGACAAATCTGACAATATGCTAATCTTCCAATAAAAAAATGTGACTTCTGAACCCTTATCTGTTGAAGAGCTGACAGTGAAGTTCAGAGACGGTTGTCTAACCAGAAAAAACGATAGAGAAAATATGCCTTCAAACAAGATCATAAATCTTGAACAGTGCAGGGGAACAAATGTAAAAGGAACGCTTTACCACTAACACCATTTAGTAGCCTCACTTTCTCTCCCTTCCACCCCTCCAGCCTCATCATACTTGCAAGGAAGGAGGATGTATCCTGTCAAAGCAATAATATGAATACAAGGGGATGGGGGGTGACAGTGTATCGGCTACTGAAACCAGACATTATTTTCATCACTCCTGGGGTGTGGGGGGAGAGCAGAAATACAAAACAAACAGTCTGCAACCTGAATACAAGACTTATTCCACCCCCCAACCGACAATAAGTTCTCACTGTTTGGACTCTTTGGAATAAATTCATGGGTTTTCTTCTCTTTCCAGTCCTTACCAACCACAACTGTAGTGTTTCTTTAGTTGGTAATATGAGGAGGCAATTTAGAACAGAAATGGAATAAAGTTTCAGTTACCATAACCAAACCCAAAAAACATAGAATCATAGAACATCCTGAGTTGGAAGGGACCAATGAGGACCATGAATCCAACTCCTGGCTCTGCACAGGACAGACCCAAGAGTCACACCATGTGCCTGACAACGTTGTCCAAAAGCTCCTTGATCCTTTAAATTTGGGCCACCGTCATGTCCAGCCAGCCTCAGCTCAGCAGAAAGCTGAACTAACATCCCTTTGTGTATTTTGCCCATGAAAGACCCCAAGCCATCCCTGCAGAGTGGCTCCTGCCTTTGCAAAGTGTGAAATGTCAGGAACCAGCCCCCCCCCCCCCCCCCCCCCAGCAACACACACACAAAAAAAGTTTGCATATTGCACAGGGCCCTTGAAGATCATAAATCTATGCATGAGAAAGATGTAGTGGAAATTTTTGGGGGGATTAGAGTTTATTTTTGTCATCTCTGTGAGACAGCTACTCATTCATCCAGATCACAGCTAAGAAAAAAGCTGGTCACAGAAATTAGCAGTTTCAGCTCAGCAGCAAAGTCGCCAGCCTGTGAAGGCAGAGAGAAATTGACTAATTAGCAATGCGCACTAAAACTTGACGGTTCTTTATAGAGAGAGAGAAGAGAGAGGGAGAGCGAGAGGGAGGGGGAAAATGCCACAAACTGATGTTTGAAATCGCAGTCATTTACGCTCGACAATTTTTACAATAGCCTTGAGCCATAATTTTGCGAGTCTCTCCAGCATCCATCCCCCTGTATGGTCTCTCTCCACTGGCCATGCACGACCGTTTCTCTCCCCAACCGTGGATTTCCTATTACTCTCGTTACGACTCACTGAGCCCCAGGCCCAAGGATAATGATGTGTTGTTTCTTGGTAGCATAATTTGTCACACGTACATTTTTTCTTCTTCTTCTCTTGCAGAAAGCTCTGCGCTCTCTCTCTCTCTTTCTCTCTCTCTCCTTCTCTCTCTCTCGTACATTTTCTTGCTGTTGCTAATTCATGGTGATCAAATGATGTACGACAAAATAAATTGTAAAGAGTGACTGCTCCGAGTTGGGAACCAGAAGGGTTTTTTTTTCTTTCTTTCTTTCTTTCTTTCTCTTCTCTCCTTTTTTTTTTTTTTTTTCTTCTTTTTTTTTTTTTTTTTTTTTTTTTTTTTTTTTTTTTTTTTTTTGAAGGAGCAAGCAAACCTTTAAAAAGGAAGGACAATTGATTTTTTTGGGGGGGAGCTTAAGTGAACCTTTACTTTGGCAGCTGGTTGTGGAGCAGGTAAGTTTCTGGCCTTGTGTCTAACCGTCTCCGTGCATTTGCTAGTGCCTCCTGATTTGTTTGTTGCTGGGGGAGAGGAAAGGGGTGTTTGTGTGTGCGGGGTGGGGGGGCAGTTGTGTAACGAACGCGTTTGCGGAATAAACTCCGATTGCAAGAAATGGGCAAAACGAGAAAGAAAGAAGGGGAGGGAGAAGAGGAGGAGTATGTGTGTGTCTGTGTATATGTGTGCATGTATGTATGTATGCGTGTGTGTGTGTGTGCGGTGGGGAGGGGGGGATTGACCGGGTCCACTTAAAGGGAGAGGCTCCTGGAGGTTTCTGTCGCCGCCGGCGGGGCGCGGAGCGGGGCTGAGCGGCGCCGGGGCAGGGGAAGCGGCTGGAGGGAGCCCCTCGCTGTGCCGATAAATGGGGCGAGGCGGGGGTGAAGGGAGGCAGAGGAAGCCCAGTATTGGCGAGAAGCGACTGAGCGCGCTGCAATGGCAGGAGCAGGTCTCGGCGGGATCCCGCTGAGGAGGAGGAGGAGGAGGAGGAAGAGCGGCGGCGGCGCTCCGCGGGGCGGGATGCGGTCAGCGCGGGTCGGTGGCTGCGCAACCTCCGCAGGTGCGGCCGCGGCTCGGGGCAGCCTCGCCGACCCCCTCCCCGGGCCGGGCACGGGCCGGGGCTGGGGGGGCGGCGGGTCCGGCCGGACCGGGGGGCCTCCGGGCACGGCCCCGCTCCCCGCCGCCCGCTCCCGCCTCCCCCGTCCTTCCCCCAACTTGAACTTCGCGTAGTTACCGGAGTTACGGCCGCGGCGCCGTCTGCTGCGAGGAGAAGCCGGCCGGGCAGGACAGCGCCGGGCGGCCCCTCGCCGGGCCCGGGGCTGCCACTTCCATCCCCCCGTCCCCGCTCCGGGGTGCGAAGTGTTGCAATCCCCGCGCTGGGCCGAGCAGTGGGGCTCAACTTCGGTGCCGGCCAGTGCCGGAGCCCCCGCTCCGGGCACGCCGCCCCCGGGGAGGAAGCGGGTCCTGGCGCCGCCGAGTTGCCAAAGCGGCCGGAGGGGAGCGGGGCGGGCAGGGCTGCTCGCCTGCCCGGCAGAGTTTCAGTCACTTGGTAGTTTCTCTGGGCGCCGCGGAGTTGGGGGGCAGGGGGTGGTGGTGTTATTTGGGGTGTGTTTGATTGCTTGGGTGTTTGGGAGGGGGGAACCTGGATGGCTCAGCTTTGAAAATGTCCCCGGCTTCCTTGCTCCTCCCCTGGAGAACTGCCCGGTTTGCACCGAGGAGGGAGGAAAACGGGGGCGGGGGTGAAGAGGGGAGAGGCAAAAAAACCCAGATCTCCTTTGGCCCTCCCAAGTTGCAGCCCCTCCGAGTGAGCCCGTCCGTGTCCCGGGCGGGGGGGCGGCTCGGCTCGGCGGGCACAGGGGAGCCCGTCCCCCGGCTGCGCCCCTCGCCACCCTTGCGCACACAGCCGGGATGCGCCCTCCGGGCCTCTAAAGCTCTGTGTTTATTGTTGTGTCGTCCCGTGTGTCCCCCCACCCCGCTCTCCTCCCCACCCCTCTGCCCAGGTTGGAGGAGGGTTTAAAAGGCAGGTGTGCCGGAGGCCGCTCGCCATGTCCAGATCCGGGGACAGGACCTCCACCTTCGACCCCAGCCACAGCGACAACCTGCTGCACGGCCTCAACCTGCTGTGGAGGAAGCAGCTCTTCTGCGACGTGACCCTGACGGCCCAGGGCCAGCAGTTCCACTGCCACAAGGCCGTGCTGGCCTCCTGCTCCCAGTACTTCCGATCCCTGTTCTCCAGCGGCGGCGGGAGCGGCGGGCACCCCCACGCCCTGGGGCTGGGGCCCGGCGCCCAGGACGGGCTGGGAGGTCCGCCGAAGGAGCCGCCGCCGCCGCAGACGCAGGAGGAGCCCGGCACCCCATCCTCCTCCCCGGAGGACAAGCTGCTGGCCAGCCCGCGGGCCATCAACAACCTGGTGCTGCAGGGCTGCTCGTCCATCGGGCTGCGGCTGGTGCTGGAGTACCTGTACACGGCCAACGTGACCCTCTCGCTGGACACGGTGGAGGAGGTGCTGTCGGTCAGCAAGATCCTGCACATCCCGCAGGTCACCAAGCTGTGCGTGCAGTTCCTCAACGACCAGATCTCGGTGCAGAACTACAAGCAGGTGTGCAAGATTGCCGCCCTGCACGGCCTGGAGGAGACCAAGAAACTGGCCAACAAGTACCTTGTGGAGGACGTGCTGCTGCTCAACTTCGAGGAGATGCGCGCCCTCCTCGACTCGCTGCCCCCCCCCGTCGAGTCGGAGCTGGCGCTATTCCAGATGTCCGTGCTCTGGCTGGAGCACGACCGGGAGACCCGCATGCAGTACGCCCCGGACCTGATGAAGCGCCTCCGCTTCGCCCTCATCCCGGCGCCGGAGCTGGTGGAGCGGGTCCAGTCGGTGGATTTCATGCGCACCGACCCCGTCTGCCAGAAGCTGCTGCTGGACGCCATGAACTACCACCTGATGCCCTTCAGGCAGCACTGCCGGCAGAGCCTGGCCAGCAGGTGAGCGGCGGCGGGGAGGGGGGCTGCCCTCACGGACGCCCCCTCGGCGGCTGCTGCGGGAGCGGGGGGTCCCGGCGGGCACAGACCCCGCGGGCCGGGCCGGCGCGGCGGCCGCGGCGGCTGGAGGGGGCGGCGGCGGGGCCGAGCCGCCCGCCCCCTGCACCGCCAAACTTTTCGTCCCCTCCCCTCGGCCCTCTCCCTCTGGCCGCCCGCGCATTGGGAATCTGGGTTTTGGGGGGGGAGGGGGGGGGTTTGCCCGTAATTAATTTTTTTTTTTCTCCCACAATGTTATTCCTTAACAAGGAGTTACGTCTTTAAACTGTAATAGCCAAGTCCTGCATCTGTTATTTTCATAAATAACTGCATCATCTATGCACACGCTGATGTTGCTGATGGTGGGGTGATGTCCCTCTTTGTGCTTGGAAACTTGTGACTTCATAGTCCTTACATCTACGACATGTCAGTTATTTTCATTTGATACGGTAATGAATCATGATGTCAAAGATTGACAATATGAGGTTGGTGTTAGGAAGTGAACACACAGCATGTAGTTTAACAAGGACTAAACATATGCAAAATTTATTTATCTTCCTTTAAAATATGTTTGTACTTCATTCAGAGATGGAAAGCTAATACCATCTTCTAGTGCTGGCATAGTACACTGGTGTGATAGCACAGAAATCAAACCACACTTTGTATTACTCAGCTTATTATAAGCTTTTTAACTAATGGGTGCATATTACTAATGATTTGACAGCAGCAAGAAAGAAACTAGTACATTAATAAATATTTTAAATAATACACTCTATTAGCATTAATGCACGGGATTCCTTATAATCTAAGTAATGGACACTACTCAGATGGTTTAACTTTGGAGATGGTGTGCCCTCATTATTTCTGCCAGCTCACTATGTTAGTGTTCTGTCATGCTTATCACCTTGTTGTCTAACTGATTCTCACTCTGAAATCAAAAACATCAAATACAACTATTTTGCAGTGTAAAGTATTTCTGAGATGCCACTGTTGTAAGTTGGTGCCTACCCTTTGCATTTCAACACTCAGAAGTGATGACTTTCAAAAATGCAAACCCCATGAAGTCCTCAGGCAAGATTCTGCACGCCACCGGGGGCAAGCTGATGCTTGTGTCCTGGTGGATTGCTGAGATACCAGCCGGCTTGGTTCAGTGAAGATACCTTTCCAGCTTCAGTGGTCCATGTCATTTGAAGGATATGTAGTGGTGTTCTGACCACTGAATGCTTACAAATGTCATGGATGCTGCAAGAATCTGATACTGCTGTACTGGGAGCTGGTTTTCCCTGTAAGCGGGAGCATACACAAAGGGATTGCACTTTAGGTAGTCCTAGATGGAGTTAAGTTGCACTTAATGACTTACAGGAGACTCCAAATACCACAAATGCTACTCTTTTTATTTGTAATAGGTCTGCATGTCTGTGCAGACAGTGGTATTTCAGAGACCCTTAACCACAGTGGGTGAAAGCATGCTGTCACCTTCCCAACTTTACTGTGTGACTAACAACAGCCTTGTAACTGGCTTCTCTTGATTGGGTTCTTTAGTGGCATTGAAATGGGAGCAAAACCGTTTAGATTTATTTATAAGCAGGCATTAGAACTTACTACAAGTGTTAAAGTGTTGGAGATGTTGAAATGCTTAGTAATGCAGAATGAAATTGTTATATTTTCATTTTTGGTCTTGGACGATATTCCTGGAAATTCATAAAGGTCACAAAGGCCCATCTTTGAATCTTAATCACTGTAAGATTTTGCCAGGCTGCCTAAGTGCACAATTGCCTTCTTAAACATGGAGTAAAAAAAAGAAACATTCATGACTACAGAGATTTCCATATTTGTCCTCTCTGTTACTCATAGTTTTTCTAAAGTAGCAATTTTAACAGGTTGACATTCATTCAGTGAAATTTTAAGGAAGAAAATCTGTGAAGAGTTCCTTAAGTTACTAATTTGCAGAAGGAAATCTTAAAAAGTAACTAACAGTGAAGTACATGTGCAAATACATAAAAATTATTACGCAGGAAAAGACTTCAAAACTCTGATCATTTTTCTGTGAGTAATGGTGACTTTGGTAATTTGGAATTTAATGAAAGGTCATTCAACAAAGATGCACATGTCTTTAGAAAGAGATGAACTGTTCCTCTTGTGCAGTGTAATAGCTCCTGCACAGTACAGTAAGGGCTGGTGAGAAATGCAAGCAGCCCAGTGCCATAGCCACCTGCTTCCTGCATGTTCAAGACATGAGAATTGTACTCAGTGTTAGAATTTTGCCAATAACTTTTCTGCCTTTTTAAAAAGAACTTTTTTTTTCTTTTTTAACAAGCTACTTAAAAAAACCCCACCTATGTTACATATCCATATGCACACTTTGGAGTACATTGGCATCAGGGCTACTTCTATTTCTTAATGGAAATAAATGTAACAGGAAGCTCAAAATATGCTGATTCTCCTCTGAAATGTAGCTATAAAGTTAATCCTGTGGTCAGACCTGCAGGAGAAAGAGATTTGGGCTCACAAGAGCCAGTCACCTCTGTGAGCAAAGGTATTTATAATGTTTGTGCCACAAATGCAGATCCTGCAGTGCAAGTGATGCTGGGGCTAGAAGTACCTGAGTTGTCTTTTGTGTTGCAGTGAAAAACACTGTTTACCTATAAAGAGACTAGGGCTTTTTTCATGAAATTTCCTAACAGGAGGTAATGCTTCAATGTCCTGATGTATTTTTGTAAAATTAGCTTTGAAGGTACAACAATTAAATGATCAGAATTTAAAACGTTGAGGAATTATGTTCCTGACTTGTGAGCCTTGCTGTGCACTCTGAGGTTTAGGACTTCACCACAGGGGATGGGTGTTTTGGGTTTGATTTGGCATTTCATCAGGTGCTCAACTATAAGCAAAGTTAGTAATAATGTTGCCTCAGTGATCCTCACCTCACCAGGGCCTCAGCATACAAGCTGCTGTTAAACCTCTGGAATCACAGTCAGTTTTGATGCCACTAGGAAAAATCATAGTTGATTTCAACTTGGAGTGGGGTGAGTGGCCATGAACATTAGGCTTAAATTATGTTTGTCTGTTCCTGAAAGAGACACATAGCTCTGTGCTGAATCATCTTCTGTAGTTCTGGGAAGAAAATGCATTTAGACAAAGTTCATATTCCAGACATTTATTTGACTCTCAGATCTTCACCAGAATATTGAGTTGACTAAAATGTCTCTGTGCTTTATTGTGTAATATAATGTATTTTATATGATATATGGTATGTATTTTCCATTTTTTTAAAAGTTTGGGGATAGAACATTATCACCTGCTGCTCCTCTCACCAGCAAAGGGTGTTTGGGCTGGTCTGCCCCTCCCAGGATCTGCTGGCAGAGCAACTGCAAATACAGCTGCATACCTGACGGCAGAGGGGACTGAGGGAAGTAAAACTGGGAGAGAGGGGGAAATGCAGAAAAAAGAAGGGAGTTGAGATACTCCAGGGGAGAAATGGGATATAGGTAGTGGAAACAGGAGTGCAAATGAGGGAAGACATGAGAGAAGGATAGTTTTGAAGGGAGAAAAATGTAAGAACAGGATACTAGACAGGAAAGGAAACTAGCAAAAGAAAAAAGACCCTGGCAGATAAAAAGAAGATAGGGAATGAAACAAAAGGGGGAACACTAATTCTTGGCAGAAACAGCATCTGTTGTCAATGGCAGCTGAGTATTGCAGTTTCTGGAAAAGGTTTTTCAGATTTGGGGGAGGAAAAATGGATGGGAATCAACCAACTGACATAAGATAGGAATAGTCCCAGGCAGAAAATACAGAATTAAAGAGCACAAGAGAAAAGAGGGGAAATAAGGAGACAAAGAGATAAGAAGGCTAAGCCTGCCCGTGCTGTTTTATGGTTTCAGCAAAGTCCCAGCATGTACAGACCCAGCTGTTTTTTAATACTTTTTTTCCCTGGACTACTACACCTTGGGGAGATTAGAAGTGCAAATTCTGGTCCTGCTAAAGCTAGTTGTAGAGGTGGTTTGGTTTGCTGTTTGTTTGGTTTGTTTTTTTTTTTTAATTTCATTTCAGTGGAGAGAGGGTGTCATCCAGACTGTTTGATGGTAGGTGATATTAGTGAAAGTGATAGCGAATTAAACAGTGACAGGAGATGAAGATGATATGAACAGTTTTCATTCAGTAGGAAGATGATAAGTGTTGATGAAGAAGGAAAATGTAAGGTGCTGAATAGAGTGAGACAGTGGCATTTATGTGGAAGACATATATGCCTGGTCTGTTTTACTTTCTAAAGAGGAGATTAAAAATTTGAAGAAACCAGTTACATCCCTTGGCAATTGAATAATTTCCTTCTTGCATACACTATTTGTCTCCAAATCTCACAGACCGTAGTTCAATTTGACTTCTTTTTCTACTGAGATTTTTGTAGAATCTTGGCAGGACATGTTTGGTGGTTGTAAGAAAAGTGTGTGCTCTTTCATTGAAATGCACTCTGTCTTCTGGTTACAACCACCTATCTGTCCCTTTGGGATCATAGCAGCAATATTTGGATTTTTAACTAATATTCTTGTCCATGATTAATTGCAAGCGAGAAATACTACAGATCCTGAATTTACATTTACATCCTGGTAAGAAAAACACATCTTAAAATGTATATGAATTATTAAGTTTTGCTTTGCAGTATGGATGAAATGGATGTGAGGCTCTGGTTTATTTTAGTGAGCTTTGGATCAGTTTTTATGTGCCTGAATTAATATCAGGAAATTGTACATGTGCCAGGACTCTCTCAGCTGAGCTGCAGAAGGGAGACTGACACATTAGAGGCTGTGGGGTAGTGAACCACAGACCTGTAGTCAGTTTAATCCTAGTTAGTCTCACCTACTTTCCTTACTTGCCTCATGTGCATTCATTTGCCATTGGAGACAAGCTCATGCTGAAGTGTAAGTGGAGAGATGTGGAGTTTCCAAAAAGGTGGAAGGCTCACATTATAG